CCGATCTCATGAATTTCACGTGCAAATTTGTAGGTATCCCTATTCTTTCTCTTAGCACTTATATATACACCCAAAGAAACACTGAAACATGTTTCTCTTTTCCCTTTTTTTTTTTTTTGGACAACAAAGAAAACCTAGAAAGGGAAGTCAACAAAAAAGACAATGCAGGCAAAGCCACCAAGCAGGAACAAAAAGCCCTCGGTCCTGTAGTATGATTCATCGGTCCTTGATGGTCGGTCCAGTGTACATCATGGCCACAACGGTCAAATCCTCCGGCTTCTCCTCCCTCTCCTTCAGCCATGCATACCCTTTCCTCTCCTCCTCCCTCACCGAGACCCCCTCAACTGCAGTTTCAAAAACACGCTTTCTATATCACGGACGACGCTGCATTCCCGTAGTTTTTCGGGTAAATGCGAGAACAGAAAGAGAAAGAAAAAAACGCTATCTAAACCGTGCAAGTTTTCAGAGGGAAAAAAATAACGCGGAGGTGGAGATTTGCGGGTACCCGAGAAATGGGAGAACGGGAAGTCGAAGTAGTAACTGCAGTGGCGTCCAGCGGGGTCGTCGTATGGTGGGCCGAGAACGTCGAGGACGGCGCAAGAAGTCTGGGCTGTGAAGCAATGCATATTCCCTCCATCCGACGGGTAGAGAATGGAGGATTCGCAGGGAGCCACAAACTCGGAGTTCACTTTCACTTTGGCCAAACGGGTATCCTCGCTGTGCGCTGCGTTTATTCAAAAGAGAGCATCGTCAACTACAACCGCCACTGCACACGCTTGTATACAATACCAATAGAAATTAGGAGCGGGCACCAATCCGATACCCGAAAAAATCAGGGTATCTAGATCCGTGTCCAAATATTTCGGGTATCCAAAATATCCGATAGAATACCTGGTTATCCACAGGTACCCGGATGTCCTAAAAGTTAAGTAAATACTGTAAATTAACACGGGTATATGTCTTTTAACAAACGTACACGGGTATCTGCAGTTAACCGAGAAAAGGTAATTTTTCGGGGTATTTATGTTATGCCGGCCCCTAGTAACAGTAAAGCGCCAAGGAAGAGAACTCACGAGGAGCGTCAAGAACCCAATCATAGGATTTGATGTGCATTGTACCGAAGAGGAGCTTGCTGAAGACAGTCATTCCCGGGTGGTTATGCAGAGGGATTACACCAGAGGGCGGTAAGCAGAATATTCCCATCTGCAACGCCTTTTCTCAGTAAGAAATTCACGGAACGGAAACAATCCGGATTCGGATTCGGACCATCGAATTCTGAACAGAAGAAGAATACCGAGAACTTGTCGCATTTGTAGATGTGTAGGTAAGTCACCACGGGAGATTTCCCGGCAGTTTTGGCACGGAAATATGGCATTTGAGGGTTCACCCCTACATCTTCTGGTTTGACCTCCTCTGCACATGAAGCACACACATGTACACATCAGCGTTTGTACACACACACTGTATATGTGTGTATGCTAACACTGCATATCTATGATCTATCTCCATGTACATTGCAACTACATCAGCCAGGATTCTAAGTTCCGGCAAAGGTGTTGAGACGTTAGTAGTGCACACATCGAAGGGAATCCTCATGAACGTTCATGTTCCAAGTTTCAAACTTTAGATATTATCACACATCGGTTTCAACCCGGTTCAGATGCCAGATTCTAAAGGATTGAAATCGAACCCAACCCACGTTATATATTTTGCTATCGAATGCGATAAAGAACATGACTTTACCCAGAACAGCTCGTAGTCGTTCGATCATTTCAGGGGATGGGACAATTCCTGGTTCCCCATTGGCAAACACTTCCTTGCAAGTATTGAACAGCCTCTGAACCGGCGAAACAGCCGTCCTCTTGCTCCTCCGCCGAATCTTCTTACGCGAATTCGCCGGAGCGGCGGCGGTGGCGGAGCTGATCACCGAAATCTGAGCATGGGAACTCGAATTCGGTTTCCTCGGAAGCTCCGAGAGTTCCTTCTCTACTCGACCAGCCAGTGTTGTCCCAATCCCCATTCAGCTACAGGTTGCGAACCCGAGAATCCGACAGTAAAAGAAAGAAAAACCCTAAATCCCCTGAAAATCGACAAAACCCCCCCGCAAATTTCGATCTGGGTTACCGTGAACAGGACACTGAATGAAGAACAACAGGGTAAAGGGTGAAAAAAAAAACTGTGCGATTACGGGTAGTTCAATAGCTGCTTGCTGCGGAAAACGGTAAGTGTACGGACACAAATTCTACGTCAGAAACGACTGAGAAATGCGTTGCCGGCAACGGCAATGGCGTTGGGATGAACGAGAGAAATGATGGGTATAAATGGGGAAGGATTTGAAAGCAGACGCGTAGTTGTATGGTTTGGTTTCTTTACTGGCAGAGAGAGAAACCAGGGGCCATTTTCTGCCCGGGAAAATTCCTATGGGCTGTTGTTCTGTTGTTCCGACAGCGGATTTCTGCCCAAAGGAAAAAAAACTCGTTTATTCGTTTGGCAGAAAAACGATTTATTTAATTTTATAAAATTTATAAACCTAATATTAATTAGGTTGGTTCGATTTAAATATCTGTTTAGTTCGAAACTGTTTTGATATATAATTTTCAAAGAATTGAAACATGAATTTCACGTGCAAATTTGTAGGTAAAGATGAATAATTTGGGTTTGATTCAGTATTTATTGGATTCGATTTGGTTTACAAACAATTTATTCGGTCTTTTTTATTAAAAAATTGTATCAAATTAATAAGGAATATTATTCGGTTCAATTCGATCCAATTTAATTTCAATTCGGATGGGATCAAAACCAAATTTCCAAACCATAACAACCACTCATAGTTCTATACTCTCGCAGATTGTTCACTCTGGATCCATCAAAAGATTAAACTATATTTTATTTTGATATTTCTTTTCACATCAAGTTGTCATATTTTCATAAACTTGCAAAAAAATTTTACCCACGGTAACAAAAAAAAATTGGATTTCTTGGTAAAAATAGGCAAAACTTATTTTCAATCTAAATTCGAATTTTTATTTATATATAATTTTTTAATTATTAAAAGATATAGTTGAATCGATAGTTGGATCGAAACCCATTAAATCTTAAGATTATAAAAAAAGTTTGAGCGACTTTTTTATATTCATGGTAATTTATTTCTTTTATTTCCTTCTTTAGCAATTTTATTTCTTTTTATTTCTTTAGCTTTGAAGCGACCTGCCTGGATAGCGTATCCGTAGCGTGTAGAAAACAATAATTTTAATTTAAAAATATATATAAAAGAAGCAAAATGCCAAGAAAAGGATGGCGATTTATACCTCATAAGATACGAAATTCGTTGAAAATAAAGTTAAAGAAGCATCGTGTCTCACGTGGTGTAAATCTATCGCTATCTTTAATTATTTAAAGTTTGGACCGTTATCATAATTAAAATGTTAGGTTGAAGACAAAAGACAAATATAAAATCGGATTTTGCTTTCGTGCCTTCGTAAAATATGACATTATCAAAGTCCCATAATCAATGCGCATGCATACACATACACTGAATAATAACAAAAAAAAAAGGATCAAATAGCAAACAAAGATGAAATATAAGCGAAAGGAGAAAAGAATGCATATGGAAGGACGAGTTTCGAAATTACTTTTAAACGTTTTGATATTGTCATAATTATATAAGCATAAAATATACAATCTTAAATTTTTTAATACACTAACATTTGGATTGTAATTACCATAATAGTTGTGTACATAATTTCATTTAATGTTATATAGGACTATATTCTAAAAACTATCTTGCATGTATTTTTAGGTGATCGAAGAATATATCCCTCGGATCATGACCCGAGTGGTGTTGTCTACATGGAAATATACTGGGTCAATTTGAAAATTAAAAATTACTTAGGGGCTTAAATCTAATCATCTCTAAAACATAAGGGCATTATCTGTAAATAAATTGGACCTCAAATATTTCTTAAAGCCCATATCCGTTACCAACCCACGGAAGCCCAATTGATTTTCTGTGGCAAAAATGCCCCCACATAATAAACCGTTTTATCTCATCCATATCATTTTTAATTTATTCGATTAAATTAAATAATAATAATAATTAATATAACCCGCACCGGGTTTAAGGGCAAGACCGTAATTTTAATCAATTACAAACAAACGAGGTTTCCTTCTGAATCAAAATCATCTGAAGAGCATTGATTGATCTCTTGCTTCGATTTTTTCTTCTTCAGATCTCTCCGATAATCTCTGAGATCTGAAAACCTCGAATTCTGTCTGAAGGGGGAAGAAGATGTACGGATTCGAGGCTTTGACGTTCAATATCCATGGCGGATACTTGGAGGCGATCGTGAGGGGCCACCGTGCCGGACTCCTCACCGCCGCCGATTACAACAATCTTTGCCAGTGCGAGACCCTAGACGATATCAAGATGCACCTTTCTGCCACCAAGTACGGTCCTTACCTCCAAAACGGTGAGTTTTCCTTGTACGATCGCTCTGTCAACAGATGCTGTGTCGAAGTTAGAGTCACCTTTGTCGGAATTGTTGATCTGGGTTTAATTCCTTTTCATCTTTTCGGGTTCTGGGCTTTTCGGCATTCGAAATCGTTAGATATCCCTAAATTTGAGGTGGTAATTAGCGAATTCACCGGCTGAGCGTGAAATTGGCGATTGTAGTTACAGTTTGATTTGTAATGTTAGTCATCTGGTTAAATGGAACTGAAAATCTGATGTTAGGACAGGAGGAACTTAACTTTCCCCTAGAATTTGGTGCGATCAGAGTTATGTTCGTGTCTGTTTTCAAGGCTTCGCAAATGGATGCTGCAGTTGTGTTCCCTGCACGAATAAAATATCTGGATTGGCATACGAGGGATCCTTTCATCTAAACCCTTGAACATAGACTTATCTAAACTTGGTTTCGATTCTGACATTCCATTTTTCTGCATAGTTGGATTGTTTATGGATTCTGATTCCCGGTTCATGTTGCGATGACGAATTGTTGCAAAATTTATTCTTTATACTTCCTTAAGCTGTTTGATGCTTGTGTGCAGAACCTTCGCCCCTGCATACTACAACAATTGTGGAGAAGTGCACTCTTAAACTGGTTGATGATTATAAGCACATGCTGTGCCAAGCAACTGAGCCTTTGTCAACCTTCTTAGAGTACATCAGGTCAGTGAGATTTTTCTAGTTTTTTGAATAATATTCGTTTCTAGGTAAATGTTGTGTTTCTGAGGTTAATACTCTTGTGTTGTTCTTGTACTACTTTTTTTTTTCTACAGTAATTGGGCTTTAGTTTGGAGCTTAGTTTGAGTATGTATCAGTTTATGAGGATCAATGTTCATAAGTTTCACTTTCTGAACTTCCTACAACTAACTTGTGCAGTCATTCGATTCAGTAATCAGTATGTTGTCAAGGTTTTGAAGATCATTGTTTGGTTAACTGAAGCTTATATTTATTAACTTGTTTATGTACTGAACTTCGTTCGGTATACGATCTGACGTTACAAGATGTTGGCCTTTGGGATATTGAATTCTTTTGTATACTACCATGGTGCAGATACGGTCACATGATTGACAATGTTGTGCTGATTGTGACCGGAACCCTTCACGAAAGAGATGTGCAGGAGCTTCTGGAGAAATGCCACCCTTTAGGCATGTTTGACAGGTAGCAGCTGCATTGGCCATTTTGGATTTTATATAATCACTTCTCCTTGTGTTTAGATCCTCTGTTTCTTTTCTTTTCGATGCTTTCCTTATGTCTTTTCCTTTTCCCAGTATTGCTACTCTTGCAGTTGCTCAGAACATGAGGGAGCTCTATAGGTTGGTGCTTGTGGACACTCCCCTTGCCCCGTACTTTTCTGAATGCTTGACATCAGAGGTATATAGCCGAAACACCGAATATACTGCTGTATTCTTCTCAAAATCAAATACATGGAATTTATTATGAAAATATTATCATAAGCTGTCGCTTCCTGTCCTCCTTTTTTCACATTCATATCATGTCATATATGATTTTGTTGGGTTTGGTAGGATCTGGATGACATGAACATAGAGATTATGAGGAACACCCTCTACAAAGCATACCTTGAGGATTTTTACAAGTTCTGTCAGGTGATTGTCCTAAATCTTATAACACGATGTGGAAATTCACCTTTGCTTTCTGACCTTTTCTGCTCGTATTTCCAAAACAGAAACTTGGTGGTGCAACAGCAGAGATCATGTCTGACCTTCTGGCCTTCGAAGCCGACAGAAGAGCTGTGAACATCACCATCAATAGGTAATTAGGGTACTGTTAAAACACTTTCTTATGTATTCTCTGGACAGCAGGAGACGTTATCATTATCTGAAAGACTGAAATCAGTTGTTTTTCCTATACGCAGTATCGGCACTGAGCTTACAAGAGAAGACAGGAAGAAACTGTACTCCAACTTTGGTCTTCTGTAAGCATTCAACTAGTTTAAAAGTCTCCGTTCCAATTGTTGTCTAACACTCGACACTAGTTTGTCTCACTGTTGTGGTTTTTGACGTTGCAGCTATCCATATGGTCATGAGGAGCTAGCTGTCTGTGAAGACCTAGATCAGGTAAATTGCCAAAAGATAATATCTCGCGAGATATATTACGTTTCGTAACCGTTCTCGTTAAGCTTATGCTCGATTGTTAGGTCCGTGGTGTTATGGAGAAATACCCTCCGTATCAACCCATATTCTCCAAGTTATCATATGGAGAGAGCCAGATGCTCGACAAGGCATTTTATGAAGAAGAGGTCAGAAGGCTTTGCTTAGCCTTCGAGCAGCAGGTTTGTATCCTTAAAACTAACCCAGAAAACTTGCATTTTCCCCTCATTGCGTTAACTCTAACCCGAAACTTAGTAGTCCTCTCTGGGAAATTCTAAGAATTCGGGTCTAATTCATGGAGCAATAACTGTTTTAAGGGCGAAAAATGTTGCCAGGTTTAGCTGATATAGAAGTTGAAAGATTTAAACAGAATGTGAACAAGAAACACTAAAAGAACCGAGGAGGATGCTTTTGCTTAATCATGAATACAGTCAGTCTCAGTCATGGCAATGGTGAATCTAGAGATGATTTCTCTCTTTGCAATGCTAAATTTCATCTGCTGCGTTATTAGAGTATTGGGTTTAGTTTCGGTTTTAGCTCGGTTTTCATAGGATAAATATCTGTAATTGATGAATCATTTCAATTGCGAATCAATTTCTCCCGTGGAGATTTCATCTCGTTTTTCTAATTTGATTGGATTCGTCCCAAATTGATCAGATTTTGATTTCCTTGATTCCATGTGGGGCATGAACTGAGACTATGACTAAAACCTGGTTGGGTGTATGTGCAGTTCCATTACGGGGTGTTCTTCGCGTACATGAGGTTGAGGGAGCAAGAGATCAGGAACCTTATGTGGATTTCTGAATGTGTGGCTCAGAACCAGAAGTCTAGGATCCATGACAGTGTCGTCTTCATCTTCTGATTCTTCCATATTTCAAGGAAAAAAACCCAATATCAAACCTGTAAACATCTATTATAATCATGATGGTATGATTTCAACATGGTTCTATCATCATCATCATCATCATCATTGTATGTTTTAGACACAAGTCTGTCATTCTGTCTCGAGTTCATGTAATTTTCTCTGAAAATAAGGTAGAGGTGTAAAAGGGATTGGTTCGGACCAGACCAATCGGAACCAGTTGGTTTTGAGATCAATTCAGTCTATTTTTCTAAGTCGTTGAAAATAATCAGTTTAATCCAATTCGGTCTGGAAACGGGTTGGTGAGTTAACTCGCGACGAGTCATGCAAAAAAAAGCTTATATTAAGAGGAAAAAAAGATTCTCCTTTCGTCTGGGATATGACAAAATCCCTCTGTTTCGGCTCTGTCGGGGTTCGGACAACGTTTCCAAGTTCCAAGAGTGTTTTTAAGAGCGATGTATGTGCTACTATTATCCATTCAGTTCAGAGAAAAATATTGCATTAAATGGTTACAGATTGTTAAATCATTATTTCATGAGAAACAAATAATACATATGTATATATGTATGTATGTATACATGAATGCTTGTTGAATATCTCAAGCCTTGAAGCCAACCAAATGTTTAATGTACGGACGGTTCAATGACCTGAATCCATCTTCTCCGGCCAAGAGGAGTGATCTCCTCTGGTGATGAGCCTTCTTCTTCTTCTTCCCGTGCACGTCCACCTTCCCCGAGCCCGAGGCCGAGAACTCTACTTTTCCTCCTACCCCTGAAAATATAAAATCGAAAAAAAAATATAAACTCCATGCCGGATAAAAAAAATAATTGAAAAAATATTTTTATCAATAAAAAATAATAAATTTGAATCGAACCAAATTCAATATAAAAACCGGATGGTTGTATAAACCGAAATAATCGAATTCAAATATAACCAAACTAAACCCAAATTCAAAATCCAAAACGGCCATCCTAGTTTGCCGGAGTGATCATTTGACCTCGAAAGACCAAGTTCTTGAAATCTTTAGAAGATTCCAAATATATACCTCCGCCGGCGGAGACGTGCTTCTTGGCAGCGATCTCGAGGGCGTCGATGTAACAGTTCATGGATTTCTTGAACGCTCCGAAGAGGACGACGAATTCCTTCTGTTCTTGAACGGAGAGCTTAGCTCCGGCCCTGAACTGATGCCTGGCTGAAATCTCGGCGATCTTAGCCGGGATCACGGCGAATCCATGGATCATACCGTCGTAGTTCTTCTTCAACTCGAGCGATCCCTTCCCTCCGAACTCGAATCCCATCTGAGCGGCCAACAGAGCTTTGCTCATGGAAGCGAATTTCGCCTTCCATATGAGCGAAGCGGGCCCATAGAAAGGAATCCCGAAATCCGCACGCTTCGAGAACCGGGCGAGGAACGAGGTGTAGTCCTTGAAGACGGCGAAAGCAGTCGTCAGTTCAGGGGTTTTGAACTTGGATCTCGACTTCAAATCGACCAGTTTCGCGATCTCGATGAAGGGCAAGGTCTTGAGTTGTCCCACCGTGCAAGGAGGAGAGTATTTCGCCGACTTGAGGGGAACCGAGGAGGAGGGGCCCTTGTAGGCGAAGGCCGAGGCCACGACGAAGGCGAAAGCGAGAGAGAACAACAGAGAAACCCTCGCCATGGTTGTACGGATGGGAGAAAACTTGCTGAAACGAAAATGGTAAGAAATGCTTGAGAAAAAGATATGAAGGGATCGCGAATTGGAGGTGTTTATATACATTTTTGGGACATGGCTAATAATAGGAAGAAAAAAAACTCAAAGTGGTTAATCTGTTTAAGCCCAAAGATTTTGGAAATGGTCAGAGTCGGTTTCAACAACAAGGTTGTTGCAGCTTGAAACATTAGAAATGAGACAGAACCAGAACAAGAACAAGAAAAGGAACTGAGAAACAGAAACCAGTAGGAAACTGCAACTGCAGAAACGTGAGAATTAAGAGGCAATCACTCTCTTTCAGATGGTCAGAGTCAGTTCTCGACGATGAATTCTTGAATCTCGATACCGGTGTGGCGAGCACCGCCCTGTTCTCTGAGCAGAACCTGGTCCCCTACTTTCATTGAAGTCACAGGAACCGCGGTTTCTCGAGACGAGTTCACTGCAAAAAAAGTAACCGATACAAAAAAAAAAAGGTCGGGACTCGGGAGAGCGAGTTAACGAGGCTAATCCGATGATTATGACTAGGAAATGACCTTGATGCAGTGGAGTGACCAGAGCAACAGTTTCTGCATTTTGCAAGATGATGCCAAAAACCTTCGAATCCTCTGCTTGTGTCTGAAAACATATATAAAACGAATCAGACCCAAGATTCTGCTTATCTTATTGTGTAAGAGGCGAATCCCGGAAAAGAAAAAAAACCTTTGCTTCCACGAGGATGAGAGGCCGGGCCTCGATTTTGACGCGGCCGACAACTGCTGTTCTCTGTTTTCCTGTCTGGTCAACAATAATAACCTCTGCACCAGTCTTTAGCTCCGAGAGGTAACAAGTCTTTCCGCCCGGGACAGCGACATAAGCGTGAACCGGTCCCTGCCCATTTCGTGAAAACAATGAAAATTTCGGTTTTCAGGTAATTTACAATTACATGTAAAAGAAATCGAGCTAATAGATTAAGAACTCACAGCATTAACCCGGAATGGTCTACTTGAGATATAATCCGAATCTAAACATTCTGAGTGAACAAGGAAGAGTCCTCTAGCAAAGGATCCAACCTAAAAAAACGGATTCACATCACCAAATTCATCGAAGCAGAAACATGAACATACTTACAGAGGATACGGAAACATACAAGAAGGCCTTCACCGGGTCTCATGAGACTACAAAGATCAACACAAACTCGGTCTCCCATTCCGACCATTTTCACCCGAGTTATAGTCGCTCTTGTCAAGTTTAATGTATCAGATTCTTCGTTCCTTCTGTCAAAATATTCCTGACAGTATCGAATCAACGTAAGAAACCGAGGTTTTATGAACCCTGATGATCTTGGGTTCAGGAAAAAACCTTTAGGCCGAGAACAGCTTTTACATCCTCGGTTTTGAGAATGATTCCACCAAGACCGTGTTCTAAAGCCTAAAGCCAAAGATTCCACAAGAGAGTTTACCAATTCAGAGAGCTAAGGACAATGAAAGTTCGATCTCAGAAGATTAATGTAGAAGATGAACAGTAACTAAAAGCCACCTCGAGAAATAGTTTTGCCTCGGAGGGCGTTTTCGAGATGGCAAACACGGTTTTCTCACTTCCTTGGAATGCTGCCACAAGATTTTCAGCCGGTATCGCCTGAGTATTGAATCTTAAGTGTCAGCAACAGATTCAAAGAGTTCTACACTTAACTAACACGAGCTGGGAAAATCTATACCTTCCAGTCTAGGAAATCAAGAACAATGTTTTCGGTAGATTCATTATGAAGCTGCAGCTTCTGCAATTCTTCAGGAGTTGACACCTCAAATGCCACAGCTACATTTTTCCGGGCACGGTCTAGAAGTTGCCCCTCTTCGATAAACAATGAATCTATCAATGCAATCGCTGCAAACCCATTGAACAAATCAAAAACTCGGAACAGAAACCCGAAAGCCGAGAAAAGAACAGACTGTAATATCTCAAGAACCTCAAAGGAAGCTTAATCAGCTTCATACATGACCACTCCTCGGCAAGTTTGTAATTCTTGGATTCGAAGATAAACGTGTTCCAGCCTCTTTCCACCGCAGCCGTCATAGCCGCCTTAGACTCGGTCCATATCCAGACCTTCTTGGATCTCTGGTAATTAAGCGGCAAAGTCGAGGAGGAACTATCAGACATTGTGACAGCAGATGTCTGAGAGAACGTTTGTTTTCTAATTCCAGTCCACCTATGGTTTAACCGGTGAGAGCTCCAAGCTAATAATCTACAAAGGCCGCACCTTTCTGCATTATCAGAAAAACCCAAATGAGAAAAAGCTCGAAGAAGAGACATGTGCGGTAAATGGCTCAACCTTAGCTTCAGATGAACAATTTCGTATGAATCTAATCGCAAAATCAGCCATTTTTAGGCAATATCGATGAAGCCCATATGCAATCATGCTTAACTAATGAATTCCTTAGGAAACAGAATCGATTCCGCAATCATCCAAGCCATAGAAATGAAAAACAAGCACTCCAGTGGCATTACCCAAATGGGTAAGCAAATTTTACTTCCACGAAGCAGGATATAGGGAAGAAAGCGAAGGAACTGCAATCGATGAAAGAGTGAGGATCACCTGTTCGAAGGGGAAACCAGTAGAAATGGTTGGAGGATGAGACATATGAAACAGAGGGCGAGACCAGAGGCAGAGACATTATGTCCGGTCTGTATCCGATCTTAGAATCCCTTCGTTTCTCCACGGCTGTGTTATTATGGACCATGTGGACTTTGGGCCTTACCCGAAAACTATTTTGACGCATTTTGGGTTGACTTTCCTCAAAATCCACACCGAATATGAGAAACCAGAAAATGATTATCAATTCTACAAAGAAAGTTCCAATATTTTTCATCTCTGAGTGACCACGACTGTTTGGAAGCTTCGATTGAACAGTTGCAATATGGAAATCGAGGGGATCAAATCTGGGTCAGTTCAAAGCTTTAACAGAGAACCAGACAAAACTCTACAGAACAACTCAGAAAGTTTCTATTGGATCCGTACAGAAAAGGGTATTGGAAATCCAACATGTTTGATAGCCCCTCCATGGATTTACAATCTTTAAGTTCCTATACAGTGTTATTACCAGCATCAATCGGGCTAAAGGTCTGAAGTAACCTATATCCGATTTGGGTTTATTTACAATCTATTTATTACAGTTTTCTTTCATCTTTCTCTGGGTTTAGTGAGCAATGGAAGCTTCACCCTTCGTCTCCTCCATGGACTTGGTCTTCCTGTTCTCTGTACTGTCCCGCCAAGTCGAAGATTCTGTTCTTGCTGAAGATTGTGTTTCACTCTCGACAGCTGTTTCCACAAACTGGGTCGTAACTTGTTCCCATCTTGTTATTGTCTCCTTGATCACCTTTTTCTGAGTTTGTGTCACTGTCACTGACCCGTCTTGCTTACTTTGATTCTCCTTCACCACTTTACTGGTGACATCTTGCAATTGATTCAGAGTCTTCATCATCTCTCGTTGATAGTTCTCCATCGTGTTCTTCGTCTATATAACAAGATAAAGGCTTTGTGTTATTTATTATCAGAAATAGGAGATTTCTATTCAGAGTTTTGGGATTCTCATTCTCAGAGTTTTGTTTTCTCACCTCTCGTGATTTGCTCGTCCTTGATTGCACCAGAGCCATTGCATCGGAGAGTTTCGAGGCTATTGACATCATCTCCGAGATGTAGGACCTCGGGGTTTTCTTTCCGACCGTCGAGGAGACAGGACAGGCGTATCTCATGTAAGCCTTCAGTTTCTCGAAAAAGGACTTGAACTCCTCGGTCTCCGGACACTTCTTCTCGAGTTTTATTATGAATCCCATGACTTCGTTCGACGTCGAGGCACTGTCAGTAGCGTTCTTAGTCTTACTACTTGATTCTTGAACACCTCCTTGAATCTCTGCTGATGAATTCTTCACGGTATAATCTTTGTTTCCTCCTTTAGTATTGTCCACCGTTGTACTGCCTTTCGCTGAAACTTGAGAGCCTCCTCGAATCCCCGAGGAATTACCCTTTTCAGGTTCTCCTCCATTATCGTCTTTCGGGGAATTCGCATTGCTTCCTTTATCCTCAATGGAAGCATTCTTTGCTGAGTGTGCTGCGTTTTTGGAATTTTTTTTCATTCCTTTCGCCTTATCATCGTCTCTGCTTCCTCTCGGGGTCACCGTCGTCTGAGCCTTTCCCGAATCTCCATTGCTTCCTCTGTTCATGGAAACTCCGCTCCCTCCGTTAACGTTCGCCGAAGAACTCTGACTACTACTCTCTCGGGTTTGAATCTGAGATGAAGATCGCCTACTGCTCTCTACCATCGTCTTGACGACTCGGGTAATCACTTGTTGCCATCTGATGATCCTTTCTTTGATTGCTTGCTTTTGCTCTGCAGTTAGCTCCATGGAATCATCGCTTCTGTAATGATTTCTCCTGTTCCTGAACTTACTAGAGATCGATTGGATCGAGCCGACGATGTTCATAGCTTCTCTTTGCTCTTGTTTCAGAATCATCTCCATGCAAGCACAAGGGATCAAAGGGTGAGTTACAACATCTATAGTGCGAAAGCATTTCAATCGTATGGTGACAAGATCGAGTAACATTTCCTGAGAACCGATATCTTCGGGTTCGAGTTTGAATAACCCGAAAATCTCGGATACTCAGACCCGTGCCTACCCTAGCAACAAGACAAATCTCTCTCGCTTACCACTTCTCTTGATTCGCTTTTACGTGCAGCGAACGAGGAAATCGCCTGGAAGAGGCTCCCGGCTTTAGCTCTCATGTCGGCCTCATAAGCCCTCGAGCCTCTCCTCCGAATGGCCTGAGAGATCGGGCAGACATACTTTGCGAACGCCTTGAGCCTCTCGAAGAACTCTTTGAACTCTCGCGTTTTCGGGCATTCTTTCTCGAGGTCGAACACGAAAGTCATCACCACTTTAACAGTGTAAGGCTCAACATCTCTCACCGTCTTCGGCTCCGCAACCTCGGGTAAAACCGAGGGCGAAACGAAGTCGGGAAATGTCCCCGAAACGACAAGGAAGGCGAGGCATAGAAACAGAGAGGTTCTCGGCATTGTGGATTAGAGAAATAGACGAGAAACAGAGAGTGAATGAACGAGGTTTAGTTTGTGTTCTTGATGGGTTCTTATAGATATCTAAATTGTCTATGTTTAGATTCATACAATAACGATGTGTGACCTTGAGAAATTCATGGGTTAGCTCTAATGTCTTCACATTCTAACATGGGAGGCTATTAATTTATTTTCTTTTTAATTTGGTAAAATTTTCAAGAAATATACATTTTTCACACATATATATATATATGCCATTATATAAAGGGGAAATCGCCATAAAAACCCTGTACTCTTTCCAGGTCAACGAAAAAACCCTGTACTTTTTTGCTTACCAATTAAACCCTATACTTAGTATGATTAACCAATAAAATCCCAAACTTGTTAATAATTCACCGAAAACCCCCCGCGTCTGCCAACTCAAATAAAAATGATGATGTGGCAATGACTTGACTTCCAAATTATGACACATCATCATTTCAAACAAAAATAAATTATATAATTTATTTAAATTAATTTATATACATATAAATTCATATATATATATATATATATTAAATATAAAATTACTTATAACTAATAAAACACACATATATATATATATTATAAATTACATTATAAATAATATATATATATACATATTATTTTTTAATATATATTGTATATATATATTAGCTATAATTACTTTTATTTTAATATGCATATTAGTTGTATATGTATATGTTGCATGTATAACTAATATATATACATATACATATTATTTTTTAATATATATTGTATATATATATTAATTATAATTACTTTTATTTTAATATGCATATTAGTTGTATATATATATATGTTGTATGTATAATTAATCTATATACATATACATATTATTTTTAATAGATATTATATATATATATGTTAATAATAGTTACTTTTATTTTAATATGTATATTAGTAATATATGTATATGTTGTATGTATAACTAATATATATACATATATATATTATTTTTGATTGTGTAATATATTGTAGTTATACATATAACATATACATATATAACTAATATACATATTACAATAAAAATAATTATAACTAACATATACACATATAATATATCTATTAAAAATAATATGTATATGTATATGTATTAGTTATACATGTAACATATATATATACAACTAATATACATATTAAAAGAAAAGTAATTATAACTAATATATACACTATATATTAAAAAATAATATATATTAACAAATAATATGTATATATATATTATTTTTAATGTAATTTATAATATATATATATATATGTATGTTTTATTAGTTATAAGTAATTTTATATGTAATATATATATATATGTGAATTTATATGTATATAAATTAATTTAAATAAATTATGTAATTTATTTTTGTTTGAAATGATGATGTGTCATAATTTTGATGATGTGTACATAACTTGGAAAGCCAAGTCATTGCCACATCATCATTTTTGTTTGAGTTGGCAGTCGCGGGGGGTTTTCGGTGAATTATTAACAAGTTTGGGGTTTTATTGGTTAATCATACCAAGTATAGGGTTTAATTGGTAAGCAAAAAAGTATAGGGTTTTTTCGTTGACCTGAGAAAAGTACAGGATTTTTATGGCGATATTCCCTTATATAAAATAATGTACTGGGGTAAAGGAAATTACCTGATTAAGGGCGAGATTATTCATAGGTTATGTCCATGTTCGGATCCCCAGATTTCACAGTCGGGTATTTGTGTATCTGCCACGTCACTAACTGAACCGGTTTTCAATTTAACATTGGTTCTATGGTTCAGGGGACCCAAAAGCCGTAGAGAGACTGTGTTCTTCGACGGCGATTTCGATTGCGATTTGCAGCTTCTGGTGATTTTTAAATCTCCATCGCTGATTTCTCCTTCTTCGACGACGATTTCGACTTCGGTCTTCAGATTCTAAGGTGTGTTCGTCGAAAGCCCTAAATAGTTTTGGTTTTCGAAGGATTTGTTTAGAAATCTGAAGATTTCAAAAGAAAAAAGGGTTTCGGACGATTTGGTTCGATTGTTTAGGGTTTTTCTATGTATCAACTAAATTTTGTTAAACTTTAGCTTTCCCTTTGAGTCAATCGGATTTGCTAGGGTTTTGAAAGGGATTTGATCAGAAACCCAGAATTTATTTCTAAGTCTACAAATCGACTCTCACTTTGTTGAATACTGGGTAGCTGAAGAACTTATCATGTGGTTGGAAAACTGTGAAAGAGATGACTTCATCTTATTCAGACTCGAATGGAAGATCATACCGGACAAGTGGAGAATCAAATCAACCTATTTCAATGCATATGTCAAGAACGCAATCCAACTAGGTTATGAATTTAAACGAAATGATCTATTTGAACTCATCAATCGATTTGAATTGGTGAAATAGATTGCATCAAATACGACATTAATTTAATTTAATGATTGATTTTTAATTATGCATTGGTTCTCGTATTTATTTATTTTTTTAGTTTTTTTTTTCCATTTTTGCAAGAAATTATATCCCTTTTATTTTTATGTCCATTTTTATCCATTTTGGTTTTTATGTGAGATTCGATTTTCATTAAAAAAAATCATTTTACTTTTATTTAGAGCGATTCTATTATTTTTACATCCAATTATATAAAAATAGATTCTTTAAATTGGATTTTAGATACAGTTATATTTAGTTTGAGAATGGCTCTTTACCAAATAATAATACTTGTCCTGTGATTCTAAAAATAGACACGTTGGATATATCCTAGATGAATATATAAAGAGATGTAAAACCCAAACTAAATCTATTCCCACATTCCTCCTTCTTTCCATTTTTTTCTTCTCTAAACACACAATATGACAATGGAAAGAACTGCTCTTTTGTTTTGCTTTGCCATCCTAATAGCTTCGGCGGCTCTTCTCGACGCCACTTCGCCTTCTTTGTCGCCCGCAGCCAAAGTTCCCGAAACCGTGAATGATATCGAGCCCTATACCACCAAAGTCGTGAAGCAGTTCTTGGCCGATCTCGAGAAGGAATGTCCCAAGACTCAAGAGTTCAAATTGTTCTTCGAGAAACTCAGGGCTTCTGCTAAATATGTTTGCCCCATCACCAAGGCTTTCGGGACGGAAGACCGTAAAGCCTACGAGTCTGACATGAAAGCTAGCGGTATCTCCCAAGTGTTCATGACTTTCTCGACGGGAGAAAAAGGGTCGGGGAAATCGGTATGTAAGAAGCATATATGTTTTTTACAACTAAGTTTATGACTTGAAAACCCTAACTTTGGATTCATATACATATAAATACAGATGAAGATGATCATGAAACGCGAAGAATTGGAATCCATGAAAATCGTTAACTCCCTACAATCGAAGTTTGGTAAGATCGTGAAGAAGGGCGATGGATCGACGAAGCTTACAGAAGAACAACAGATAGCAATCAAAGACGCAATCTTGCGATGGGAAAAATCGGCTACTCGAGTCGTGAAGATTCTAGTAAGGAGAAGCGTATCTCCTCGTAACCCTCGAGACGGGCAATAAAAGAAAACAAATTAATCTCTACCCCCGAAGAGACATGTTAAAATGACACATTGATCATCAAATGTATGGTTTCATATCGGTTGTAATTATATCTCAAGTGCGTTATACACCGATTTGAACCAGTTTTAGCAATGTATAACAACATTTACATTGTATATTTCTTCTTCTGGATGAATTCTTTTGTCATATGATACATATTCCAATCTTATTTATCATGATTCGAGATAACAACTTTGGTTAAGGATCATAATAATGGTATGTTAAACCCTTCTTTGGTATTTATTTTGTTCATTATCAATGTAAAAACGGACAAAGAACTAAAGTTGTGAATAATTCAAGTTTACTCAATATCATAACTTCAGATCCATTTTGTTAGAGATGAAAGATATATAGAACTTTTGCAATGGATAAATGAATATTCAAGTTCAAAAATCTCTTGACGATTCGCTCTAGACATGATTTCAGGGCAATGGCTATGACATAGTCAGCTGAAAAAGTATTACAATGAGAAAGTTACAATGATATTACATAATATTTTGATTTAATTATCCTTTTAGCTAGGGGTGGGCAAAATATCCGAAAAATCCGAACCGATCCGTTATTCGATTCGTATCCGAACCGAAAATTCGGATATCCGGAGTTTACGGATCGGATACGGATATTTATTTGGAGATATTTGTCGGATACGGATCGGATACGGATATTAAAATTGAATTATCCGGGATATCCGATCTGATCCGTATTTTGTAATAATATTATTAAATATACGAATAATTTGGTATGGATATTTAAAATGCTTATATTTACATGTTTTTTTAGCGTGATTCAAGAAAATTTTTTTATATATTGAGTTTTATAATTTTAATTTTTAAATATTAAGATTTATTACGTTTAATGTTTTGAATTTTGAAACTTGGATATATTTGTATGTGATACATTATAATTGTATTTGTATTTTAGTTGATTTGGAATGTTTAAATTATGAATTTTAAATTATTGAATATTATTTATATTAAATATATTATATATTTTATTTACGTTTCAATTTGGTATTTAATTTAAATTTAAAATTTTATAATATTTTAGGTCGAATACGGATATCCGCAAATATCCGTGATTTTAACGAATATCCGAAGTTGCGGATATCCGAAATTTACGAATCGGATACGGATAACAAAATCGAATATTTGTGCGGATCGGATACGGATACGGATATCTCAAAAATCCCGGATATCCGATCCGTGCCCACCCCTACTTTTAGCTTTTCAATATTTATATTATTTAAATACTATTTTTTAATCATGTCTCTTAAATAAAAATAAGTTTCTAATAATATTCTCTATTCAAATATTTAATACTCTATGTGTAAGTGGAGCAAGAGCACAGGGCCCCACAATTTGATGGGCCCCACATTTAAAAAAGAAATTTAAATACTAATAATTTGTAATTATATTTAGGGAGATTCACATATTAAATATTGAACTTTAACCAAATTTCCAAATTAAATACCCAACTATCTCACTTCCAAATTAAATAATTAACTATATTAAAATTCACAAATAAAAACTAAACTTTTCAAATTTTAATATATATCTAAGAGATAATCCAAAAAAACCCTTTACTTTTTTTCATCGCAATTTAAACCCTATATTTTTTTATCCAAAAAAACCCTATACTTTTCAAAATTTTAAAAATTATACATATTCATATACACATATTAATTATTATAAGCACAAAATTAATTACATATTTATTTTTATTTTCCAAGAATATGTTTTTTTGGACAATTGAACACATATAAAACAATATACAAATAATAAATAGTTTCTTATATATAATGATTTTTAGGAAAAAATACAGATATCACACATATATATAAAACATAAATACATATAAATATATAAAATAAATGTGCAATTAATTTTGTAGAAAATAAATATGTAATTGATTTTGTGCTTATAATAATTAATATGTGTATATGAATGTGTATAATTTTTAAAATTTTGAAAAGTATAGGGTTTTTTGGGATAAAAAAAAGTATAGGATCTAAATTGCGACGAAAAAAAAGTATAGGGTTTTTTTTTTGGATTATCCCTTGGTATATGTTAAAATTTGAAAAGTTTAGTTTTTATTTATGAGTTTAAATATAGTTGAGTATTTAATTTGGGAGTGAGATAGTTGAGTATTTAATTTGAAAATTTGGTTAAAATTCAATATTTAATATGTGAATCTCCCTTATATTTATTAATATAAATATGATAAATAATTAAAATTATATTTAGGGGTAATCGTATAAAAATACCCGAGCTTTTACAAAAATCCCAACTAAATATCCGAACTATAAAATTGTCATATAAATACCTGAACTTTTCAAAACTCCAACAAAAATACCCAAACTTTTAAATTTTTTCCAAATCAAACACCCGCAATTGTTGACTCATCAAAAAAACTGCTGACTCAGCAAAAAAAACTGTTGACTTAGCAAAAAACTACTAACTCAGCAAAAAAAACTGTTGACTCAGCAAAAAACTGTTGACTCAGCATTCAAATATATTCTTAAATATCCAAATATTCATCTATATGTATTTAAATTAATATATACATATAAATTCATATATATATACAAATATATATATATATATATATTAAAAATAAAATTATTTATAATTAATAAAACACATATACACATAACTACAATATATATATATATATATATAATTACTAATGCATATATATTATAATAAAAATAATTATAATTAAATTTATTATTAAAAATAATAATAATAATACATAAAAATAATTAA